AGGGCCTTGCTCGAGTTTGGGGTTTGGGGTCTAGGGGTCCGGGGTTTAGGGTTTAGGGTCTAGAGAGTTTAGGGTTTCGGGTTTAGGGGGTATGTGGTAGTTTCCCAAAATAGGGGGACCGCACTATAGACTCTAGAATATTTCTATCCTTGACATGGGGACCCCGAAAAAGATATCCCTAATTTTGGGAAGCCCCCATGTAGGGTTAAAAAGGTTTCGGGTTTTTCGGGTTGAGGGAAGGGATGTAAGGTTTGGGGCTAGTTGTTTTCAGGCTTTGGGAGCTTTGGGGCATGGGGGTTTAGGCGTTTAGAGGTTCAGGGATTGTGGCTTCGGATGTTCTAGGGTTGGGGGATCAGCATGGACTTAACTCAATTCTGGAAGCACTCCCCTGACATTGAACCTCGTTGTTGCGCTGCTTTTTGCGCACATCGGTGGCAAAAGTAAAGATATCAGCAAACTTCCGGAGGTTAACGTGGGTCTAATCTTGGTGTTCTTTAGATGTTAGACATGCATTGTTCTACGAACTGTCATCAAGGGCTCCATAAACAGACCAATTGCGCATAGTACTGTTGAAGGACGAAGTCCTGTGTCACCCGAAGTATATCCGTATACCCTAAACCCTAAACCCTAGACCCTAAATCCTAAACCCCTAAACCCTAAACCGTTATGCTACCAAATTTGCCAAGGTGTCTTCTAGGTTCGTGCTGGACTTTTGGCCATCCACAGTAAGGGCCCCAAGGTTCGTACCTTTGAATTTGCTCTTCCCAGGATAGTTAAACAACTGATGTAACATGCAGTATGTCAGGCATCCGTGTCAGTGTCTGACATTTCTGCTGGTGTTTCTGTTCTGCCGCTGCAGTTCTTATGGTCAAGTCTGCAACTTGTATGATAGTTTTTCTTGTTTCTACACACGTACTCTTAGACCCGGCACTCTGAGCCTCGAGCCCCACCCCCAAACCCTAAGCTCCAAAGCCCCAACCCCAAACCCTAAACTCAATCTTTAAAACCACGCACTTTGAACCCTGAGCCCAAAATCCTAAGCCCGAAACCGCGGCGAGGCTGACCAGCGAGAGCCGCGCCGGGGTAGAGCTTCCCCGCGCCCTGCACCCAGACTTGTGTCCTCTCTTTGGATGGTAAGGGGGATTTAGCAAGTAGGTTAATAGTTGGGATAACTAGGGTTTAGGGTTCAGGTTTAGGGTCAGGGGGACTTACTCTGTAGGTTAATAAGGGAGGTAAGCATGGTTACTAGATGGGTTACAGGGGTTATTAACCCGCTTACTACGTCCCCCTGACCCTCCAAGTACCATAGCACAGGTAGCGCAGCACGGAGCATGGACACAACAGATATCATACAGTAATTTCATCTTCCCTCAATTAACATTATTTTCCTGTGTAGTACTTGTTGCCATTTCCCTTGCAGGCCTTGGCCGGCTGCCGGAGAGAAATTATGAGACTTTTCCAAGAAACTGGGCTGGTCGCTTGGGGTCCTTGCACCTTAAGCCCTTAACCCTGCGTAGGTGCCAAACTCTCAACCTTAAAACTTAAATCCCACATGCTGAGCTCTAAAACTCTTCAGGGAAATCCATGTGATCACCTCCCCCTACCAAACATGCAAACATTTCCCATAATATCTAACGGTATGATATATGCGGTTATTTAACAGTGGGGGGCGAGGGCTCCCAATGATAAGTCCCAGTGTCAGTTTCAATCGGGTTACAGTTACCCCAAACCTCATAAATTCTGATCAAAGTCATCCTTATATGACCCCTCCCTTTTGGGCTACGAAGTCCAAAGCCTAAAACCCTAAACCCCACAACCCTAAACCCTAAATGCCAAACCCCAAACCCCGAACCCCAAAACCCTAAACCTGCAAGTGGGCCTTCAAAAAGCAAAAGTAAAGACTTCACGAGGTGGCGGCTCTCAGTCCGACCCTCAGTGTAACGTCAACCTGGGTTTAAGGGTATGAGGGTTTAGGGTTTAGGGTTTGGGTTTAGGGTTTAGGGTTTAGGGTTTACGGTTTAGGGTTTAGGGGTTTTCGACTTTACGAGGTTCTCGGGCTTAGGGTTTAGGGATTGGGTTTAGGGTTTTAGGGTTTAGGGGGGTTTTCGATTTTACAAGGTTCTCGGGTTTAGGGTTTCGGGGTTTTCGGTTTTAGGGTTTAGGGTTTAGGGGTTTTAGGGTTTTAGGTTTTTAGGGTTTTAGGGTTTAAGGGTTTTTAGGGTTTAGGGTTTTAGGGTTTAGCATTCAGGGGTATAATATGGTTTTTACTTGGAGGGTCACAAAGTGTAAGTAGATTATTAAACTATATTAAACTCCTATACCCCATATCATGATCCCAGTTATCCCCATGTTTAATCTACATATGAAGTCCCCCTCACCCTCCAAGTAGTGCTTCTCCCAACTGACAAAACATTTCAACATTGCCTCGAAAGGAAAGGCAGAACAATAATGAGAGAACAAGAGTGATGACATGAAGAGCAGGAACAAGAAGAATAACATTGAAAGATGCCAGAAACGTATTCTATTTGAAGCAACTTTCATAAATATTGGACTATATTGGGAAGATTCCGTATTGCGGGAGGGGATTTTCTCAGCAGTTTGAGACTGAAAGCCTTTAGCCTGGTCCTATGAGGTCCGCGCGCTAGGCTCCGCATCTCTGCTCGTGACGTGCGGCTGGCTAATGATCGCAGCTGCCCTGGGATGCATATCCTTTCCAGAACTCAGCCTAAACCAAACCCCAAACACTAAACCCTCATGTGCCCTCTCTTGTGCAAAAGGAAGGTAGGTTTTTTCAGGGCTGTTTGGTAGACGCTAATCGCCGTGCCGCTTTGCACGAACCGCCCTGACCTTGTGCTGGGTTGCCATTGAGGAAGTTAGTTCAAGTTGCCATATTATGGGCATGCAATAAACAATGAGGCTTCCTTAACTTAATCTAAGTTCCCTAACAGTAACGCAGTTCTGGGTGGCTTCAAATCTTCAATGCGTCCCTGGCAGTTGCACGCTGGGCGCTTCGCGATGCGACAGCAAACAGCAGGGCAGAGGGCTCGAAAGGTGGGATGAAGGTAGGTGGGTTAAAGGATCCCTACTTAGGGGTCAGGGGATTGCTAGCGTTACTATAGGGATTATAGCAGTCATTAACCTACATATTGAGTCGCCCCTGACCCTCCAAGTAGTATATACTCCACTAGACTGGGGCTTATTTCCTATACCCCACCTTCCTTTACCCCACGTTTGAGCCCTCTGACGCAGGGCAGAGTTTGCAGAGCAAGATGCTTTGCCTGCCCGCGAAGCTTAGCATAGCGACCACATGCGCTACAGTCTAAACTCCTAGTATCCCCCTTAACAAGCCCGGTAATTTCAATCCTATGTAGCCCTTTATATAGCCCCATTTTAGGAGTTTAGACTACAGGCCACATGGAATCAAAACAGGATCTCGGTGGGATGTGCACTGTCCTCCATTGTTTCTGCAGCAGAGATGGCAACAGGTCACGAAGACAGAATCCAGGACACTGTCTTTGAATTTTTGGCTTCAGCGCAACCTTCCACACACATATGCATTTTTCTAGATGCTGGCGGCAGGACTGGGGAGGGTCGGGCTGAAGCGAGTTGCCAATGAGCTTGTTCAAAGGGCATGGCACAGCCTGGCCCTGCAGGAATAAAATTAACATGCTTGGTGGGTAGCCCTACTCTTGGTGCATGCGAAGCATGGTGTTATGTGCAGCAGTTGGCATTTGCAAGATCTGCTGGATGTGATGGCTGGGCCAGGGACTCGGAGAGGAGCCATGATTGGGCTTTTGCATGCTCTTCCCCACGTGCATCTGTTTGGAACTGCCAGCCATTACCCGCTGCGCTTGAAGCCGGGGTATCTCCCGTAGGTAACACTGGACCTCGTTTTGTGTGATTGCCCTAGCATTTGCTCAAGTCGCTGTGGGTGTTACCTAGGCTGTTGCAGAAAGCAGGCGAATCATGGAGCTCGTCTCCGCATCGTCTTCGCTGCTCGACATTACGGGGCGTACAGGTGATGCCGTGAGCAGCGAAGGAGGCTACCCCAGCGACCGGGAGGAGCTTGAACGTCATCTCAGCCGCCAGCCTGAATACTTGCAACGTATCATCCGTGATTTCCTCTGTGATGAACGCGCACGCTCCTTCGGGAATGTTGCTGGACAGCTTGCAGCATACCGGGACATAAGTGCAAAGTTGGTGGAGATCAATCGCTCTAAGGAGGCAGCCTCACTTAGGCACTTGCTGAAAGAGATCCACATGCGCAGAATCCAAGCCCTTCAAGACAGTGCGAGTGCTATCTCAAAGGAGGTGACCGTCCTGCGTCAGTGCATTGCGGGACGTGACTTCACACGTTTGGAAAGTCTTGCACGACGCATTGCTGTCAGGGCTTCCAACTTCAAGAGGAAATTTGCCGAGTTGCTTCCGCAGTTTGAGAATCTCGCCACTGAGGTAGAGCACGTGGCAAGGGCTTGTGAGAACTCAAGCCGGGAATCCCAGGAGCTTCTATGCCAAACAGTTCAGAGGCGTGATTGGTGGTTCTGGCTTTTTGACCTGATTGGCAAGACGGTGGCCTTGGGAAGTGGAGCTGTCTTGGCTGGTTCCGTGTCCTCTCTTTGCTACTTAGGCTACCTTTACCAGGGCAAGTCAGCAGCAATGGGTGCAGCGAAGGCCACTTATGCAGCTGCCAAGAAGCTTCTGACAGAGAAAGCAGCGACTGCACATGCGGCTGCTGTGCAAGCAGAAGCCGCAAAGGCCACTGCTGCTGCACGAGCTGCAGACGTGACCACTGCCAACCATGCCCTTCAGAGCGCTACAGGTACCGAGGTGGCAACAACTGCTGCCAGTAGCCATGCTGGACCTAAAGCTGTGCTGGCAAGCCTCGGACTGGCAGGGCTGGCAGACATTTTTTTGATGCATGGCGTGGATGTTGCCATGGCGGCCTCAGATGCAGCCTCCGCAGCGGCCTCAGCAGCATCGGCTTCGGCAGCGGCGACCCAGGTGGCTGCAAGCACTGCTGCATCACAGGCAGCTGCGGCAGTTGCAGGCATCAACTCGCTGCAGGTGGCCATGGGTTCCCTCTCAGCATCTATGCTTTCTGTGGCGCCTCTTGCAGCCTTCTCTGGCCTTGTGTTGGCATTGTGCATGATAGGCTATGCCGGTAGGAATGTGCTGAAGCGGCTGCTTGGCAGGCTTTGGGCAGATGAAATCAGGTTCCATGAGTGGAGCAGCGAAGGCTTTCAGCAGAAGGCAAACGACTTGCGAGATGCACTGCAGAAGTTGAGGGCTACATGCAGCTGCACTGAGAAGCTTGAAGAAGCTTTTGCTGTCGTTGTTGAAGCTGCTGACGAACTTGCTAACGAAGCTCAGTGTTGCCAAGCGGTTGTTCTCGAGGATGACATGGAAACTCTGCGTCTGAAAGTAGACACCCTTGCCAGCTCTTACGAGGAGGCAGTTGGCGCCTTCCATGAGATGCAGGAAAACCTGCGAGATCTATCGGAAGTCCGTTGGCTTGTTCATGAGACAGATACACGAGCTCCAATCGCCAGCCAGCTGGCTCTGGAGTCTGCTCTGGAAGTTCCAGACGCTATGACCATCCCAGGTGCCACCTGCCAGGACTGAGGTGACACGCAAGACTTGAAGTCTTTCAACTTGAGCTGCTAGATTGCCACAACTTGTCGTGCCTGCAGTCTGGATGTTGATACTAGGCAAATGTATGGATACACGCAGAACCCTGACGCGAGGCGATGTGGGATTAGGTCCATAGCCCAAGTAAAGTTCCATGTGGCAATAGGACTTGGAGCTTCCTGACCAAGCCGAAGATCCTGAGACTCTGGCAGAGGATGACATGGAGGAAAACCAGCAAGATCTATTGGAAGTCCGTTGGCTTGCTCATGAGACGGATACACGAGCTCCAATCGCCAGCCAGCTGGCGCTGGAGTCTGCTCTGGAAGTTCCAGACGCTGTGCCTCCAGTAAACGGAACCGACGAGACAACGGAGGACTTGACCATCCCAGGTGCCACTTGCCAGGACTGAGCGTGACACGCAAGACTTGAAGTCTTTCAACTTGAGCTGCTAGATTGCCACAACCTGTCGTGCCTGCAGTCTGGATGTTGATACTAGGCAAATGTATGGATACACGCAGAACCTTGACACGAGGCGATATGGGATTAGGTCCATAGCCCAAGTAAAGTTCCATGTGGCAATAGGACTTGGAGCTTCCTGACCAAGCCGAAGATCCTGAGACTCTGGCAGAGGATGAGGCAGAAGCGGTACTCACAGAGGAGGGATGGATCCTGGTCGAATCTGCCAGCCTGGAAGGACCCCAGTTGTTAGGCAGAGCTTCACAACCTTGCCCTTCAGGGGATTGTATTCCAAGCGGTACCTACCTGCTTGTGCCAACAGACTGGGCTGCAAGGTTCTTCGCGAATCGCCCATGCGTGGCCGCTGGTCCGCATGGCAATCGCGTGTGCGAGGTCCTCTTGCAAAAGCCTTCCCGCAGACAGCTGGCAAGCTTTGCTGTCCCGGGTGGTGACTTCCGGTGTACCAGCGATCATCCCCTGCGCGTGTGTCGCTCTGGGTCATGGATTCATGAGCAGGCTCGAGGTCTCCAGGCAGGGGATGTGGTCCTGACCTCAACGGGCGAGGAAGCAATCCTGCGTCGATACCCCTCCATCATCACTGATGAGGATGTATTTGGGTTGAATGTACATGGAGGCGGAAGCGAGATCTTCATCTTCACGCCTAGCCAAGGCCACAGCGGACAGCTCTCTTTCTCGGGGTTGGCTGTTCTGGGCATGACCGACGCGCAAAATGAGCTGGCTTCGCAAACTGCAAGGTCATCTTCTGCGCCGCCCAAGTTGCATGGTCTACCTTCTGAAGGATCTCGCCATCATCGCCCAGACGGCACCTGCCCCAATGTCTGCAAGAAGTTCCTGCGTGGGTCGTGCTACAATGGCCGTGACTGCCGCTTCTGCCACTTGCCGCATCCTGATGAGTCCAAGCGCAGCCGCCGAGGCCCCAGGTCGGAAAGGGCCTAAGAGTCCTAAGGGCTCACGCCAGTTAGTTTAGGGAACTCTGTTTTCATCCTTCCTTGGCAGGAACGAGCGTCGCTCGATGTACACTGCCGGAAAAGGACACGACATTTATGTTTCCATGTCCCAGCTGGCCTTCTTGTTGTGTATTGTATAACGGTAGCAGCCTCGCACACTCTGTGCTTGTGTATCCTGTTCAGATGGAGAGGGCTGGCAGGGGGCATTGCCAAAGTGCAGCGATTCGTGATGCCAACATTTCCAGCAGCATCCTTCAACTTAATGCCGCTGGAAAACAACATCGAACTTGCTAGTGATGCTGCATGAGCTGTGGCAGAGAAGGCGCCCATGGCTTTGGGAGCCCACTTGCCGAGGTGTGGCGGTGCCATGCCAGGCGCTTGCGCTTGATGGGGACAGTACCCGTGGCAAGGCCTGCTGGTTTGCTGGCAAAGATGCTGCAAGGAATTTCATCATCAATTGTGACATGATCTTAGACAGTTTCAAGCATGTTGCAGTGGATCACGAGTCGCCTCATTGGAGACGTTGCAAGCCTGTAGCAACTTTGTTCCTTTTGGTGCCGCTTGTGGACAGCTTTGTGCTGGTCATGGGCTTGCACATCAGCTAGCCAAGCAGTGAGTCCGCGCAGCCATGCAAACGTGCTACGGTCTCGGTTTTGTTGGAATCTTAGGCGTGTTTGGTGTCACTTCGTGACCGCAGGTTCTATAATAGGGAAGTGTAGGGTGTCTTGTTAACTTTCTTTGTAGTTTCACCTACATGCGCACGAAGCAGCTATCTCGACGTGTTCCTAGCACGCTTTTCGCAAAAGTGAAAGAAAGGAAGGAACGCCTGCTTACCCAGGATTTCATTCACATCTAGCATGCGCTTCTACATATAGGGTTTCCTTTATGAGGGTCTCTATAAGACAGGTTAAGATCTTCTGGGATAAGTATCAGGGAACCCCCCGAGATTTCAAGAGCTGGAGGTTCAACTCTGGGCTTTTCACCGCTTGGTGTCTCTTTCTTCTGACAGCGGCACGTTTTAATCTAACTTTCATTTTTCTTGCAGTGTCTGATGGGCTTTCTTTAGGACCGCAGTAGCTCTCAAGTCTTGTGATTGCGATCTGCATGAATCATCTCTAGAATTCTCAACTAGCAAGGCGATAGGTCTGGGCAGTTCTAGCATGCAGTGGCATGTATGACAGCTAGGTGCTCTCCCTCGTTTGGTTTCTATACCAATGATTGTCATCATACATCTGGGTCTCCAAACATGATTCACCGGGGCCCTAATCCCTAAACCCTAAACTCTAAATCCCTGAACCTTAAACCCAAGACCGTTAACCCTTAACCCTAAACAACTGCAATGCCAAGCAGCTCTGAAGCTTGCACCCTTTGCCGCAGCATTGGCTTACGTTCACCTGCAGCTTCACATGGAGTTACGGTCTAGGATTTAGGGATTACGGTTTAGGTGGATCAGCCTGCAAAGACATGGGTGTTTCCCAAAATTGAGATCGCCTTTTTTGCGGTCCCTAATAAGGATTATAGCATCTTGGGGTCTTATCTTCAGGTCCCTTATCTTGGGAAACCACCACATCATGCAGAACAATAAGCATCTTCTACACTTGTGCTGTGTCTTGCAGCAGCATGTTCCCTCACCTTAAAGAGCGCTCTGCACTCCCCCAGAGCAGATGAGCAAAGAGCTTCAGCGGAAGACAAATCACCTGTAGAACCCTTTAAGGTTTAGGGTTTAAGGTTTAGGGTTTAAGGTTTAGGGTTTAGGTTTAGAGTTTAAGGTTTAGGGTTTACGATGGAAATTGTTGGAACCACAACAAACAAGGCTACCAGCAAGATTCACTTGCAAACCCAAACTCTTATCCCTAAACCGCGTGTCAAGCTCGGGGTTTTTGATGCCGCGCAAACATGCTGCCGCCCTGCGTCTTGAAGTCCTAGCTGGATGCCGCTCTGCAGGTGTCGGGACTCTACTTGGCAAAAAAGAATTAAGAACTTGCGGTCCCCCTCCGAGACTTCCAAATACTAGAACAATTGGGTACAACTGTTTTGCGTACCCCCAAAAAGTGTCCCTAATGCTTAGGCAGGGATCCATGCACAGCTGATCCGTATAGTAACATATAGTAACCTGTTTTTGCATTCTTTACTGACCAGAAGCCTGGTAGCATATAATGTAGGACATTACATACATGCTCGCTGTTTCCTCACAACTTTCCCTACTGCCAACATGAGATTCAATGTTTCAGTCATCATCTTTTTCAGGCCCTATACCCTAAACCCTAAACCCTAAACCCCAAACCCTAAACCCTAAACCCTAAACCCTACAGTTGGGCAAGGGTCATCTCTTACCAACGAAATGCCGAATCCCGACAAGCTCCAAACTCCAAGCCTCGAACTCCAACTGAGTTGTGCATGGCAACTGCTAAAGAACCTAAACTTATTGGTGCTAAGTAGGGAGTAGGGGACTGTAACCTCTACATATTCCCTAAAAGAATATATTCCCTTTCCCTACTGACCCCCCTGTAACTCAAGAACCTAAAGCTTTGCCTTGCAAAGGCTGAAGCACTGGACTGAGACGAAAACGACGTCCGCCGCCATTCCGCCGCTTGTTGACGCTGGGGCCCTGGGATGGCCCCAAGTTTGGTTTAGGGCTTTTTCCCTGGGGTTTGGTGCTTGGGGTTTTACGCTTTTGTGTCTAGGGTTTGCGGTTTAGGGTTTGCGGTTTGGGGTTTGGGGTTTAGGGTTTGCGGTTTGGGGTTTGGTCTTTGGGGTTTGGGAGTTAGGGTTCAATATTTCGGGTATGGACCTTTGGGTTTAGGGTTTTGGGCTTTAGGATGCTGTAGGTACTATGGCCTAAGGCTTGGGGTCCAGCTTCGGAGATCTGGGTCTAGAATGTAGCGTCTGGGGTTTGGAGGTTCAGGACTTCGGCTTGGGATTTAGGTTTCTCCTTGGGACTTAGCTTGGACCTTAGACCCTTAACCCGTTGGGATTCCCTTATGTTTCTATTATAGGTACCTAGAGTTTAACCCTTAGAAGGGGTCCTAAGTGCCAAGTGAGTAGCAGTTTATTTGGGGATATTATGGTACCCATTATAGAGTAAGATTCTATTCTCCCTTTGGGGTATAGTATTTTATATACGAATATAATTTTACTAGGTTCAACCACCAAAAAACGCTACTCAAGTAGGCTTCTGGATGTAATTTCCGGAGGTCGGGCTTAGGCCGAGAGCTTGGAGCTTCAACTTGCAGGTTGATTGCTGTAGGTGTGCCCATATGAATGACGACTAGAAGTTCCCATGTGAGCTTTAGTCTAAACTCTTTAAAGGGGGGTTCTAGGGGATTGTATAGGGGAGTAGTATAGGGGTTATTAAGGGGGATACTGGGAGTTCAGACTATAGCTCATGTGGTATACACCGAGTTCGTTTCAGATCCGAAAGCATAACGGTAGATCCACACTTTGACGTATCCCCCTGCAGGCTGCCAAAGACATGGGAGAGGACCTCCGGATTCATAGGGGAGGGCCGGTCTTGTGCAGAAAAATCATAATAAAAGTAGTAGCAATAATAGTAGTATTGATACTAGTAGTAGCGATAGTACTAGTAATACCAATAGTAGTAATAAGAATTAAAACACGTTTGCTTTTGGAGCCCAGAGTCTCCTTGAAGGCCAGGGTTTCCAATCCTAGCAGGGCATTCCGGATTTGAAGTTGGATGATATTTCAGGAGGTAAACCCGGGCTTTGGAGTCGAGCTAATAGTTGAAAACCCTAAGGCCCTAAGCCGTTTTCCCTGCATGTCTGTGTGCTCCTTGCGATCAGCAGCTCCTACAGATCCTTGGACGTCACATGGGTGGAGCCCTCCCTTTCTGCTTACGTTCCCGAAACTTGCATGGAGCCCTTATGACCCCGGTTATGAAAGGACAGGAGTCTAGTACATAGAGTTCCGTTATGCTGTGGGTGAGGGCGCAGGTACCCTAAACCCTAAGCCCCAATTCCTGGATGCTAAAATCCATACGATCCCGCAAAGAGCCGGTTCTGAAGACGCGCCTTTTGAACAGCTTTGCATGAAGAGACATTTCCAACTGCCCTTGCAACTCATTGGTTCTTAGTAGGAGACCTCTCTTGTAACCCTATAGTCTTAGGGGGTTTAGGGTTTAGGGTTTAGGGTCATACCTTATACTAATCCCTACAACCCATGACCCCAATCAACCCTAAACCCTCTAAACCCTAAATTCTAGGACCACCACCTGACGGTCCATACCACCCATGCCCCTGTGGTGGCTGAGCCGTCGCCGGGCTTGCCCGGGCCGCCCACACCAGGTTGGGCCCTTTGCATTTTTTTGGGGAGGTGAAGGGTTGTACGGTTTAGGGTTCTAGGGTTTGGGGTTTCAGGGTTTCAGGGCACACGGTTTAGGATATTACTGGAACTAGGATGTAAGGTTTAGGGGTTCAGGGTTTATGAGGTAGGGCTTAGTGTGCAGGTAAAGTCATGGTACTGACCAATGATATGATTCTGGGATCTGCGTAGGGCTGTACCCAGTGTTGTACTATGTACTGATTGACAGCCGTGGGGTATCATGATGCCTGCAGAGCAATCAGTGCAAGATGACATAGAGGGCTTATGACTTGCTCACATAGAGCCAAGCTAATTGTCGTTTTTCCTTTTGCTATCCTGGTTCCCGCCTTGTGTTGACACGTCCGCAGAGAAAACTCAACAGCCTTTAGGCAGGCCTTCTGCAAGCGAAGCCTCATCTTGTCTGCTGAAACCCCGAAACAAGCATCCAGACCTTGTGCCCAATGCCCGGATCTATTGTGGTGCAGCAAGCAGAATCAAAACATGTCAGAGAGGAGCTTGCCTACTGATTGTGGGTACGAAGTGGAGGAATGGATCAGCAATTACCAATTCTTAATTCCTTGCATCGAACATCGAACAACCAACAGGAACAGGTAAGCCATAAATCCTACATATCCCTTTCTGACCTCAGTTTCCATTTAGTGTTCCGCGTGC